GTACATATCTTTACCCAGAGAACGGATGAGAGACGTTTACGTCCCCCCCCCCCCCCCCCCCCCCGTCAAAAATCTATCTTAATCCAGGAACATCCAAATTGCATGAAACTTTCAGGATATATTGGGGCTGGAGAGGAGAGACTACCATAAATTTTTTCGCCCGAAATCTTCAGGTTCTAGGGAGATATGAACCAAACAAGGGTCAAAAATGACTCATTTGGCATCCAAAAATTTCCGGTCCTGGTTCGTTCAATATATTAATATTTTTTTTTTTGTTGGAAAGAGCATCTCAAGATGCAGGGCATGATGGGCCGTTTTTTTGAAATAGTTCCTTTTTAAGCGCAAAAAAGAGATCACAAGTTCAATTACTGAAAAAAGTGTCAAAAAATGGTAACCAAATCATATAACTGGCTGTATATTGACCAAACAAAGGCTTAATTTAAAAAAATGGCCCCATCATGCCCTGCGCCTTGAGGCGGTCTTTTAAACAAAAAAATAATATTAATGCATTGAACGAATCAGGAACAAGAAATTTGGGATGCGCTTTTGAGAAAGCGGAAACTGAGAAAAAACGAAAAATATTTTTTGATTTTTCAAAAAACAGCTGGTTTTTCGAATAGGGGTTGACGGAAATCTTGAAAATTTTTTGGGAAAAATGAAGTAACGAGAAAAACAAATTATCGTTTATGAAAGAGCAGATGACGGGCTATCTTCCCATGTATTTATCTCAGCTTTGACCATTCCAACGAAAACTGACATTTTATGAGAGGGGGGGGGGCTTAACACACATATTCTTGCACAGCTCGACAAATTCTAAGCATGTAAAAACGTTACAGACAAAAATACTGCTAGATTTTTAAATTATTGGCATCCTAAATGATGATAAAATATCACCTTACTTACAGACTTCGATAGTTAAGATGCAGTGATCGGCAAAACAAAAACTTCGGTATTGTATAAATTAATTAGCATGCAGAAAACAGATGACAAGAGAATAAATTATTTCTGTACTAGCATATTGTTTTTCGCTCCTTCTTAGTTTTGATTGTCTTGCTTTTTGTGAATAATAGGCATTCTTGATACTCATCTCCATCTTTGTTTTTCTATAATAAAATCAATCACGCATCTTGTGAAATATCAATCATATTTGATAAATAAGATATTATATACAAAGATTCACTTTTTTTTTCTCCTATTGCTTCTTTTTTTTCTCCTGATAATGAACCACACACAATACAACGAATAAAAAACGACGTACAAGAAACTCCCACATATTAACATATTTTTAGAAACAAAAACAAGCATCTCTATGTTCTACAGTAACGAATACTCTGTAATTTTAAATGGTAACTACTGCATGACAGTTGTCGGTACTGTTTGAATAATAGGTGAACCCGCTGTTGAATAAACTTGTTGAGGTTGTTGAATAGCTACCTGTGATGGACCAATCATTTGTCGAATAATACGCATACCTTGAGGTTGAACAAGATTCTAAAAATAAAAATATAATATGTCATAAATTAGTTGAAAAATTTACTTTCACATATTCATAAATAGAAGCATCGAGTGCATCAGTGAAAAAAGGAAATTTAGGTCAAAAAAAAAATATGTCAAACAAGTCATTTAAATTGTCAAGAACGTACTTATCTGGAAAGTTCAATTTTCAGATAAGACTTATGTTTTTTTTTCTTTCAGTTAAAACAAACCAAACTACTTTTCTTTTAATGAAATTCAATTGATGTAGAAATTTGATTAATTATCTTTTAGTGTATGACGTGCACAAAAACGCTTTTTCTATTGCTTTGTTTTTCTCTCTCAATGTCATCCATGAATAGAAAATTGATTGTACGTGCGATTTTTTTTAATAAAAACATATTATCATTGTATGACTTTGTTTTGTATAAAAGAAAAACTAACTTGTTGTGCAGTAAATACTGGTAGTAGTTGTTGAACAGCTTGTGGTTGAGTTGTTGTTTGCTGTTGTGGCACACAAACTAAAGTCGGTTGAGCTGTTGTTTGCTGTTGTGGTGCACAAACAAAAGTTGTTTGACCATTTGCTTGTTGCTGTGGTACACAAACTAAAGCTGGTTGAGCTGTTGCTTGCTGTTGTGGTGCACAAACAAAAGTTGTTTGACCAGTTGCTTGTTGTTGTGGTGTACAAACTAAAGCTGATTGAGCTGTTGATGATATTTGTGGAATTTGTCGAACGATTTCTCTAACTAATTGTCGACCTGGAATTTGTTGTTGTGCTACTTGATATCCAGTAGGCCGACCCATTTCACGTTTGACAATAATTTGGCGTGCTGGTTGTGTTTGTGGTAGATATTTTTCATAAATAATTGTTGGTGGTTTTGCAGGTGGAGCTGGATATCGTTCAACAATAACTGAAGTATAGTTTAAAATAAGAAAATAATATAATGTCATAAAATATTGTTACCCTGTCGAGGACAAGTAACTGGTGGTAAACGTTTTTCTATAATTAAAGGTTGTCCAGATGGAGGACATAGCGGTGGTTTTTCTCTTTAAAAATAATATATTGAAACATTTTGAAAGAGAAAAGTAAAAAGTTTTTTTAACCTGATAATAATTGGCGGTGGTGTTGGTGGACATGGAGGCATTTGTCGACAAACAATAGGTGGTTGAGTTTCGGCTGGAGCTCGAATTTCTATTATTAAAATTCATTTCATTTTTTTTTCAATAACATAATACAAAATTTACCTCGTATAATAATGGGCGCTGGTGGAGGTGGTGTTGGTGGTTGTAGCCAACGCACCATTATATTTTGTTTATAAACTACTTCTTGATTATTTGGTTTGTAGATTACTTGTGGATTAGTATTACCCAATGACATATTTGAAATATTAGTTGTATCATGAATTCCAAGAATAGGCGGTGAAGGTGGTCGCATTGATTGAGGTGATAATCTACCCAAAAATTGAATATTACTGGAAGTACCACCAGGGATATTAAGCATATTTGGAGAAGGTCGTCGATTCTGAAAATTGAAAAATAAATATAAATATATGCATGAATTTCTTTAAATGTTATATTTGAAAAAGTTTTTAAAATAGATTCTAACTAATTTTAAATGACATTATATATACTTTTTTCTCTTTGTTTTGAAGAAAATACCAACGAAATAGCATTTGCTTAGTTACTAAGTAATTAGTACAAGTGGAAAAAGCAGCATTCAATTATTTTAAGGAAACAAAAACGAAGTATATCATAAAATAAAATCTTCATAAAAAAATAAAGAAATTTATCAACGTGATGCGTACATACTGGTAAACTGACGACAATGAATCCATCAAAGACTAATAGACCTATGGAATACGACATTTACAGTAGATTATTTCTTATGTATAATAGTTCTATTGTATTAGTTTAGTAAAAGAAAATTAAAACGAAAAATGATGGCATGAATGACTTACTCTAGGTAATGGTGCAGATATAATTGGTATATCATCAATACGTTGAGAAACGAATGGTGCTGATTGATTAACAACTTCTAAATTTGGATTTGAAAGAAGTCGTTGAATTAATTCATCTTGTCGTGGATCTTGAGCATATGAATTTGCTGTTGTACTTGGTGTTCGATGAACACAAGGAGATGATAATGTGTGTCTATTATCAGTAAAATATCCTTGTGATTGTTGAAGTAATGGACTCTGCCGTTTCATATCCATAGGCAAAGGTGACCTACCACCAGTACGCAATGGAGGAAATGAAGGATAACCTTGATTTAATTGTTCTTGTTGTTCTAATTGTTGTTCATGTAATTTAAAAGCACGCATAAGTTTCATAACTAAAAGACAAGAATCATCAGCACTTTGTGTAACAAATATGTAACATAGTGCATTATCAAAACCATGAAAAACAGTAGCAAATATTGGTGGACCAATAATAAATTGTGCAAAATGATTAGCTAAGTCAACATTTTCAAATTCTCGTCGATGAATTTGTTCTGGTTCACGTGGATCGAAAAACTCACGACGCATACGTCGTAACGCACCACAATAAGCTAAATGTTCTATTGGTAAATGTAATGTACGATTTTTTGTCTCTACTGGTTCAAATGTAAGAAATTCTCCTAGTTCATCAATTGATAATGAACCTTCTTGTCCAAATATATCTGCATCTGATCGTGATAAATGAGATCGTAAAATATCTTGAACAAGGTCAGTACCATCTGATGTTGAATAAAATGTTAATGGTTCAACAGCAACAAACTGTACAAGTAACGTTTTACGTTCCAGGTCAGAAAAACGTGAAACCATTTGTGTCTTTGTTCTCGTTTGTATTCTTGATAAATATAGATGATCAATTCACTAGAATTTCAAATAATTTGAACCATTAAAATATCGCATAAAAGTAAATTGGACATGAGAAGAATTTTTTATCTAGACATCTGGCCAATCAGTTTTCATCCTACTTTTTGGTCACGCTTCGACACACACATTTGAAAATTGTTGAAAGAGAGAAAAAAAGACCGTTCGTTATCGATAAGTATGATCGCGACTGAATAAGTGTAAATGACAACCCTTACTCTTAGATACATATGTCTACGTGTATCGTATAGAGCAGACATCGAGCAAAGCGACAAGGTTAATGTACATTTACATTGAACACTATTCATCAAATAAAAAAAAAAGAAAAAAGCAATTTTATGGCATGTAAAATAAGCAAATTTTTTAAAATTCTATTTTTGTATCACTCCCATTTTTTAATACTTGCGTTAACAATGATGATTGATGATTTCGATTATCGATAGATGATTTGATATTCTATATGCAACAACATACGTATTATAAAATGATACATTGATCTTGTCATCTCTTTTGCTTTTAAACATTTTAACGTGTTATTTTTAATATGTTTATGATATGAATTTTAAAAAAAAAAAATGAAAATATGAATACTAATATGATCAAAAAATGAATTTCTTTTTTCTTTGGTTTATTATTAATTCAAGTGAAACTAACGCATGTTGTTAATGAAAATTTGTGTTTATTAGAATTTTATATTTCTTTCATCTACATTGTTTGAAATGACAGAAATCATATATGAGTAGTAAACATAAAAATGATTTCGAAGTTTTCATCAAATCATCAGCAATTTTCATTACTAACTTCAGTTGATTAATCTTGTAAGATAAAGAACTTTTTTCATGTTATTTTCAAAGGAGAAAAAACAGTGACTTATAATGTTCTCTGTTGTATATCGCAGTATTTTTAAGACTTTCAATATTCACTAGTATGGCCATATGTATTGATAATCATGTTTAACAAAAATAAGTAGGCCATAGGTGATTGTTGTACATGAACTATCTTTTTGTCCTTAAGCTATACTTGTTTTATTGTAGATTTCTTTCATTAATGAGTTTCATTTACCAACTTCTGACATGTCTATATAGTATTGCTTATCATCATACAGAAATAAAACACGAACGCGGAAGTGGTTTCTAGTATCTTGTATTAATATTGCTTGGTTTTTTTTTGTCCCATAAATGTATTGAAAAATCTACATTTTGACATAGTTAGCTTTTCATTCTTCAATTTTTCTTGTTATAGCAGCATCAGATCAAATGTATTATTAGATGATTTTGTTGTTTTTTGTTTGTTCTGGAATCATAAATTGTTCTCCAATGTTCGTCAAATAATTTGTTTCCTCTCTTTCATGGTAATATAATTAGTAACTGAGAGAAAGAAAACTGGGGACCAAATTCGTTGACGAACAAAAGACATTAAAAAAATGCACACAGCAGTTTGCTCGATTATTTATTCAGTTTTTATTATCTTTCTTGCTTACTAATCAGTCTTGAATTTGCCAGAAAATAATGTCTTCTAATTAGATTATAGAAATTAGAATTTGAAATGAAAGCTACTTTTTATCGCTGAAAAACTTGCTATTATTAGTCTTATTATTGATATAATATTGAAAATTATGTTTAAAATTAAAAAAAATATTTTATTTTTCAGTATTATAATTCAACAGAAAAAATTCTATTAAAGTGTATCATTCGAATTTGTTCATCGATTATTTTTTCGGAAAAGCATTGGCAAAGAATAGATTCTTTTTATTTCTTAGAAAAAGCTTATATTATTCTCGATTTTTTTTATTTATTTGTTCAGTTAATTTTTTATTCTATATGCGTTTTTTTGTTGTCTCTCTTGTATTTGATTGAACATTCTTGCTGAAAATTTGTGTTCCTGTGCTTTAATATTATAGTGAGAAATTTTGTAACATAGAAGCAGTGACCGACATCATTAGCATACTTTTAAGGTCAAAATGAATAAAATTCCAAAAATTATTAGCATAATAATTTTTCAGTACTATATTTATCAAAGAAAAAAATTAATTTTGTATTCAAAAGTCAACCTGCATCATATCTATCTCAGTGAATATTAAGAGAACAGCATTGACTTAATTATTCACTGTCTATTGTTTTGTTCATAAAATAGAACACGAATATTGTAAGATAAGAAAGAAGAACACTACTGAAATATAAACATTATGGAAAAACGAAAAAAAAAAAGATGAGCGTCACCAACACGACGTAGTTTTCCTATTTTGTAATTAAATCTCCAAGTGTAGTATCTGAAGATCTGTCTTATTAAAACTTATACAAACTAGGCTTTTATTTTATTTTTCTAATTAAAATTAACAAAAAAAGAATATTATCACTGAGAACAACTAGTACCAGTGTAAGTGTTTGTTGTTAACAATATTCTATTGATCGTGAAGTGTTTTCATTATAATGCATTTTCAAAAGTTTTTTTCGTTAATTATATGTTGAAAAACACTTACATAATAAAAAGAAAGAGAGTTGTTAGATTCTTCATATTTCTCATCATGCTTTTTTCTTTCTAAAGCTCATTATTTTTCAAAGCACAATATTCGTGTATATATAAAAGAAAATGGGCACTTGTGATATAATTTATATTAGCATATCTTCCGTAAAATCAACTAAGAATTTTTTTGGACCCATATTTTAAAACATGTCCTATACTAATATTAGATAATTAATAACTAAATATCCAAATACCGACTCATCTATTATTATAGATCGGCTTTGTTTCTTTTAATGTTTCCATTCTATCAATTAAGAAGAGATAATTCGCTTCGAATAATAGATACGCAAGATACTAGAGTAAACTCATACTGAATTCTGCTATATTCTAGAACAAAAACACTATCAGATTGTTAATGTTTTCCTTTTTTTTTTTTGATTTGTTGTTATTTCACTAGAAGGCATTATTGTTCGTATGTGTCAATTGAATATGCTAGTTTTTGGCATAGAAAATTTTTGAGAAAAATTTTATTATTCTATTTGTAGTCTATCACGGCATTATAGAGAATAACAAATTGAAAAAAATGTGGAACAGCCTTGAAGAAAAAAAAAATTTTAAAAAAGAAGAGAAATTCTATCCCCGATTTCTTTAATTATTGTTAGATCGATAATTAAACTCATTGATTATATTTGTTTGTATATCAAAATATTTCAAATCTTCTTTTTTTTGCCCAGTTTATCCTTAATAAAACAGTAAATATTAAAAAAAACCGCAATGATAGTTACAAATATTCTGTGCAAACAAATCTTGATTTCTGGTGATATTCTATTAAAGACACATGCACTTCGTTGTGCTGTTAGTATTCATCGTTAATAAATTCAATGTACTTGTCAAGCTTCAATCATTTTGTTGTCTTCTGTCTTTCATTTATCATCGCGTATGGTAGTTTTATTGTTGACAATTGACAATAGGCGTGAGACGATGTTCGACACGCAAAAAAAATATAATATTTATATAAATAGTATTCTATTTTAGAGGAAATTCATGCGACCGTCAAAGAAAAAGAATAGAAAAGCAGAGAAAGAGAAATACACCATGATTAAAATGAGCAATATCATTAATTGTCATAATGAGAAACGAGACATTGCTCATTCATTTTGACAATCCGACAGAGCTGATCGTATTATCATTCAACGAAACGCTAAAAAATTTTGATCAAAATTCAACACCTGTTATGAATATTATTCTTTTTATTGTGACAATATGTGTGAGTATTCCAAGTGTATTGATTAATTTATTTGCTATATATCGACTTCATGCTAATACTAAATTAAGTGTTTTTGCTTTTCGTACGATACTTCATGTTAGTTTATTTACAACATGTACATGTGTACCTTTCTTTTTAATTGAATTATATTTCAACTCATATTTTCCATTATCACCATCAATATGTAAATTATGGTTAATTGTTGATTATGCATCAATTGTTTGCCTTGGTCTTTTAGTATGTTGGGCATCGATACAACGTCATATACTTATATTTGGCCCAGTACATATCAGGAAACTTCAATCAACATTTAAATATAAATTAATACCAAGTATTCTCGCATTAGGTCTCCCATTAGCATGGTATTCAATACTAGCATCAACATGCAAATATGATAGAACATTACATGAAACATTTCGATGTCGTCCGTGTTTTGAAAATGAAAAATTTATTTTTCTAATTGATACGATTCTAAGCTTAATTTTACCATTACTTATTACTATCGTAGTGACATTTTTTTTATTAATACGTATTATACGTTTACGTCTTAGAATATTTCGTTTTCCATCAAAAAAATGGCGTCGTTGTAAACGTTTAACACGTCAAATGATATTATTTTCATTAATATATTTAATTGGTCTTGTACCATATGTTTTAACAAATTTAAATTCCTTATATAATTTTTGGCCATCGATAAATTTACCTTGGTGTATACAAATAGCTGATGCATTTACATATGTTCCGTGTTGTTTTTCATCATTTTTAAGTATATATGCATTTCCAGAAATCTGGACGAATCGAAGAAATCGTCGTTATAGACATCATCATCATCATCTTCAAAAAACAAATCGGATACATAGAACAAAATTAGCAAGTACATCTACAATGTTATCAACAATGACATGAAGTTAAATCTAATTGCATGAACAATATAGAAAAGACCTAATAACTATTTATTTTTATTTTTGTTATAAAATAAAGAAAATCAAAGAGTGTTTTTCAAGTTTTTTTTTTTCTATATCAAAACCAACGTCGAGTACGATCCCAAACAAAAAGAGATATTGCATTAAGTAAGAATGCTCGTGTAGCTATTACAGTCCAACCACAAAAAAATCCATGTATACCATTTTCTATTCGATAAATTTCCAATAAACATTGAAATAAGTTTTTATTTGTATAACCAGCTTGTTGTTTACTTTTACATATGTCTAGTGGACAAGCGATTGTCCAACTAATAACACCAACAGTTCCACCGGCTATAAAACCACCGAGTAGCTCACTATTTGTTGAAAAATGTAAAGCAGCTTTTAATGGATCATAAATCATCATATAAATACCTACGAAAAGAAAAAATCTTTTATTATTCATTTCATCTCGTCAATATGAAAGAGTTTTCATATACCAAAATAAGAAGAAATAAATTGCTTCAACGTCATATAATAGACTATGGAAAATAGTTACTTTTATGAGAGAATACTTCTAAGCGTCAAATCACTTCTGAATTGGGACTTCGTGCATCATTAAGGTTCTAATGAGCTATGAATACCTTGAAAATAGTTAGGGTAATAGCTTATTGCTACTGAGATATTGTAGTTTTTAATAGAATTCCATGTTCTCTGGCTACCAGAAATGCCGGAAAAACTGCGTTTCGAATTTTCACTTGAAAGTTTGTATAGAGACAGACCATAATGAGAATAAATTATTGTGAAAGATCTAGATTCTTGAATTGCTCGTATTCTGAAATAAGAGTATCGAAATTTACTATTGTATATCAGCGGCGTGAAAAACATCCTTTTACCGTAGTCATATATTGGGATATAATCAATCAAAAGATCTGAAACTTTCACAATAAACTATTCTTGTTAAAACATTTCCCAATGCAAAGTTTCAAGTCGAAATTCATGATTCAGTTTTCCTGATGTTCGAAACTGGGACTACGTCATTCTACTAAAAAGTGCAGTATCTTAGAAGTAATAATCTATTGGCTCGAGTTCTCTATAGAGTATCCATAGCTCATTAGAACCTACATGATGCGCATAGTTCCAACTCAAAAGCGATATGACGCGTGGAAACGTTGCTTCGTTAGTTCGACAAGTACACTTATATGTAGCATTCGGAAATTTTGTTGTCTGCAAAAAAGAAACCCGAGACGTAAGTTCCTGTTATTTAAGATAGACGTGTTCATATTAAGACAAATAGATTGTTTTTCTAGTTTGTTAATAATTTATGAAATATCTTTCTCCTATATCTGCAAAAAAGATATGTTATTACAAATAGTTTGTAAATAAAATTTAAAATTTATATTAATATTGACTTGAAAATTTTGTAGGCCATTTCATAAAGAATTTTTCAAATAGATTTGTTCTATCGATTTTTTATTCTCTTTTAGGACAAAATTCTCATAATCTTTTTTTCTATAAATCTTTGCTGTTATATTAGTCGTTTTATGTCAGTATCATGTTGCCACGGAATATTTATGGAATATGACTATATTTTCATACATTAGAATCAACATTCTTATTGAGCCCGACAGACACAATTCTATGTTTGGTCTCGTAATGATTAGTATAAAACTAATGATTATTATTTAAAAGTAGAATATTTTTCACAATAAAGAATACTGAAATGATTTTGCTTAAAGTATAAACTCAATAAATTTGAGTACTGTTAAAAATTTACGTAGATATTAAAATGACAAGTGAAAGTTGTTTACCATAAGTAGGTGCATCTCGCCAAATAGTTGCATGTAAACCACGAAAAAGGCCTCGAAATCCTTCTGTTTTCATGATATGACGAAATAGTTGATAAACATTCGCTTCTTGTTGGTGACCTTAAACAAACACATGTTTTTCTTTTTAAAAATTCTTTTTTTTTGAATTATTCACTTGTTGTTTGTAAACGGATTTTAAACAATTCAAGTATACTCGATGGAAACGCTTGTACAAAGCCACCAAAAGAACCAGCAATAAAATTATGTAATAATGAGATTTGTGTTGGATTATCACGATTTGATCCTAAGAAACGAAGACAATCTGCGTATGAACCATAAAATGATGTTTGAGATGCACATTGAACAAGTAAATGAGATGGTACACCACGATAAAAACCTTGTATCTATACTGAAACAATCTTTAATTACAATGAAAAAAATAATTAGCATACTCTCTCACTGAATTTAATTTAATAATCAATTTCATCGCTTTACGTATATTATGTGTTGAATGATATTGCATAGTAACTTTAACAGTATCGATTGGATGAACTATAAATGTACTTGTAACACCTAGAAAATAATTTTTTTTTTTATGAGAAAAGACTTTAATGAAAGAATTTTAATTGATGCTGTCTTACCAGCAAATAATCCTGCTACATAATCATTCATTGTATTTTTAGTTAATTAATAAAATTAAAATACTTATGTTGAGTCTTTATTTTTCTTGAATTTGTGTGTTTATTTTCACGCATGTCGTCGCTTCATATAGCTTATCTATATTTTTTTGGTTTTTTTTAACTTTATTATCTATTTACGTATCTGACAAATGTATCGAAGATAAAATTATATCATTCCTTCGACACTAATTTTATGATCATAATATTTACGAAAGAATATATTCAAACGCCAAATTATTTTCGAGTTGAAACTATGTGTATCATGTAGATCATAATGAGTGATGAATGTCCTGGAAAAAAGTTCGGGTTATTGATTTGTCACTGTAGAAGTATTGGATTTTCTACGGTACTTTTTAGTAAAATGCCATGCTTCTCCTCAGGAACACCAAGAAAACTGAGTTTCGAATTTCAACTTCAAATCTTGCACAGAGGCAGACTTTAACGAGAATAGTTTATTGTGAAAGTTTTAAATTTTTTGATTGCTTCTACTCTCAACTAAGAGCATCCAAATCTATTGATGTATAAGGGCGAAGTTAAAAATGCGCTTTTATCATAGTCATGTTTTAGAACATCAAAAAAAAAACGAAATGATCTGAAACTTTCGCAATAAAGTATTCTCGTCAAGGTCTGCATTTGTGCAATGTTTAAAGTCGAAATTCTAAATTCAGTTGTCTTGGTGTTCCTGAGAAAGATCACGACATTGTACTAATAAAAACCGGAAAAAATACAATACCTCGACAGCGATAAACTAATAATCCGAACTTTATCAGAGTACCCAAAGCAAATTAAAATCTACATAGTGCACATAGTCCTCACTCAAAAGCAATTGAACACTTTGACATATTCCCTTGTTAGAGCCGTAAGAAACTTAAAATGTCCATGCTACATAAATAGATGTATAATCCTTTTCGTTTACAATAACAAAAAAATGACGTTACATAAAAGAAGAAAAAAACAACAGAACATGATTATTCAATAATTGAAGTGATTGACAAAAGGTTTCATAATTGTCAACTAATGATTTTTCTTTCGACTTTTAATATGAATAATAAAGAGAAAGTTGTAGATTCTCATGGAGAGTTTTTCAAAATTTATCATCAAGGTAAATATATGTCACGATGTAATAAATATGCTGTCAACTCGATGAATTCGACGCTCAAGTGGAAATATTTTGCTTAAATATTAGTTTATAGTGAGATGGCTAGGAAAATTGAGCAGTGTAACAGAGATGGGACCAGTACCGATTGCCAGCCAGTCCGGTTCGTGGTCGATACTAATTTCAGACTGACCGATCTGCCGGTAGATCAGTCATTACCAGGGTGTCTTTTTTTTTTTTATTGCTCTAATTATCTGATGAAAAGTGTGTAGTGAAAATTTCTTGAAACTTGACTACGTCAAATATTACTATTCACCGATGGAATAGTAAGACAATTTGTCAGTCAAATGTCGGTATGGATTTCAGACTGGTCGATGATCTGTTGTGAAAAGCTCAGATCGGTTCCATTTCTTCAGTTTACTTTAGAAAAATGTGCCAAATGGTTTAATATAATAAAAGTTTAAGAGAAGAAGTTCCACTTTTTTAATAATTGAAATCACTTTAGAATTAGTTAATAGTAAGTAACATAAATGACAATAATCTCCCCTTTCATCATCTGAATATTTTTAGTTATGAAAATTTTAATACAATAAATGACAAAGTTAGTTGATCATTTTTCAAACAACAATAAAAAATAAGTTCTTTCTTTTTGTTATATGACATAATCATCTTGTTTACTTACATTTATTTGGATAACCAATTAAAGATCTATACACATTGATGACAAAATATAATCTAGACATAATCACATGAACTATGATTATGGCGAGTTTATTTTAAAAAAATACAATTCAGAAATACGAACGACAAAATGGCAGAATCTTACTACGAACAACAAAAGCACATATTCACGTATACGTATATCTTTGATTTATATTAAAATGAATTTCCAAGAAAAAAGAAAAGCGTCTTTTTTTGACAAGTATTATATGTAAAGTAAACGAACGCGGGATGTCGACACTTCAAGATCACCATCGAAAAATTTAGTTTCAATAACAATATTTCCACTAGAAAACAAGTATTAAAAAGATTATTTATATAAAGAGATTGAAATTTTACGTGAGTAAATTTGCAGGAATCATTTGATTCTCTGGTGCAGCTTCAATTAACGACTGCCAAGTGTTTGTTGAACCAGGAATAACAAAACCGAATGAAAATTCCCATTCTAAATTACAAAAGTAGTTTTAAGTAATTAATAGGTTATTTCGAGATCTAACGTCTCTTAAAATAAGATCAAAACTTATGATCTTTTCGCACAAGTATTAAGAATTTGTATCTTATAATTATAAGATGTGTACAAGTTTTGTACTAAATTATATATAAAGAATGAAGAAATTATTCGTTATATAGTTTAACAGTGACTCATAATCATTGAAAGTCATTGTTATAAAACTAATAGGGAACATTAAAACCAATGAAATATTGAAAAACTCAATAGCATCTCTACATTATTGCTATGAACTATCAATCGAACATTCTCTATCCAGATTTTAACCTTCATTAATTGTCATATTTTCACAGTAATTCTAATGAGAAAATTACACTTTTCAAGGAAAAAACAACTTCCTTGTCAAAGAAAACATTTCGAATTCATTCCTTCCATATCTATGTACTATTTTCAGATTAATAAATTTATTAATATGTTTCTATTTCGAACAAGAAAGACTTCATCTTTGAAACCATTAATTGATCAATCGATAAAACTTTTTTAATTAATTGAACATTTGAAGATAATCCTTTCTGTAAATATTAAAAAGAGACAAAGTCTTCTTCCTATCATTTTCAATCAAATTATTCAAGCATTTTGATTGCACAAAATAAGAATTTCTATTTACAATTTTAACTACCTTCAATAACTGTGTTCTTAAAATAGACACGTTGTTCTAAACGAAAGTGTTGCATTTCTTCTTCTGATGAGAAATTAATTTCACGTGAAACCGCTCGACATTTAAGTATACGTTTTGGTACTCGTGCCTCATGTTCAACGTCCGGTAACGATCTAGATAAATTCGAATTATATAAATAATATTAATATAAAATAAAATAACGTACAAATTTTCAGACGATTGCCAAAGACTTTCTCCTGATTGAGCATCACGTAAATTCATCCAATTGAATTGAAAACCAGTCAATAATTTCTCTCGTTGTTTTGAAGAGCTTTTGTTAGACATCTATTGTTTTATTTTCAAATCTCTACTACCACGATAAATAACGCTTGCCTTTTTCTTTATATTTATATAGCGTCAATTCATAAGGAATTACTTTTTCCAAGTTCTGCAAGGAAGAAAGCATCATTTACTTCCTCGAGGAGCTTTACGGGTTACTTTATTTTTCTTCCTTTCTTTTTCTTCTTGCGAAAGAATATTTCAAGTCTTCTTCTTCGAAATCTCATAAAAATGTGTTACCATGGATAACTCTATAAAGTATATTTTTTTATTATTAGCGACATCAATAAATATATTATTGGTTTATTTTATAAACCACTTATATAAATCAATATTCGTTGTTTATAAGCATTCATCCTTTTCATTCATTTATATCATTCATTTCGTTTTTAGATAAGAATGAAATATCTATACTTATTCATCTATTGTATTCATCAATGTTATTCAGCTGGTATTATGGACCATGTTATGTATGCTATTAATTGTGGTGGTGAGGCACATATAGATGCACATGGTAAGAATAAAAATTTAGATTTTATAATAAAACAAAAATGGATATTTCTTTTTTCTTTCAAAGGAATAAGATATCGTAAAGATTATCTTAAATCTGGTATAACATCTGATTATGGACGTAATTCATTTATAAGTCGTGTACCAAAAGAAGATATGATACTTTATCAAACTGAACGTTATGATTTACAAAGTTTTTCTTATGAAATTGATCTTGTTGATGATGGAGATTATGTACTTTGGATGAAATTTGCTGAAGTTTGGTTTAATGCTCCAAATATGAAAGTTTGTTTAATTAAAAAAACAAATGATTCATATTAATTAAACAAGGATGTTTTTATTTCTTAGGTATTTCGAGTAATTCTTAATGATGAACATTCTGTTATTGATGAATTAGATATATTTGCTCAAGTTGGTCGTGCAACAGCTTGTGATGAATATGTTCCATTTCAAATTAAAAATGGTCGTTTAGTTGTTAAATCACGTAGTTCATCGTATTCAGGACAATTAAAAGTTACTTTTCAAAAGCTTGATACTAGAGATAATCCAAAAATTAATGCACTTATTATATGGAAAGGATCTGTTGATCGTATGTGTATATGATATAGAAATCTTCTTCTTTTATTTTTTGTTGTTTTTATATAATAGAAATCCCACAATTACTGTCAAAATCTGAATCAGAACAGCCTGAAGTAGAAAAAGAAGTAGAAGAAGAAAAACCAGCTGTAGTCGGTAACGTAAAGCGTCATTTAAAACCAAGTGGACCAAAAATTGTTGATCCATATACCGAAGATCAATCAAGTTCATTAATGCCGTTATTTATTGCAATAGCTGCTGTTATTCCTATCATTTTTTGTTTATGTCGTTTTTAAAATATAATTTATTCTTTCAAATCAAAAAATAAGAAGATAAAATTTTCATAACAAAAATTGACAAAATTAATTTTTAGAAATAGTTTTTAATTAATAGGAATCTTTTTTCTTTTTCATAAGCAAAGTCAAAAATTCTTTTTTTTTTTATAATTAAAGTCATTAACCAATTTAGGTGCTCATTCCAACGGCAGTTTTTACATTTTAATTGTACGTGTATTTGTTTGTTAACGATTAGAAATAAATAAAATTCAGGTACATATTATATTGATTATCTTGTTTTGGCGTTAACAACTGCCCAAGGATTATCAGGTGTTACAACAGGATGCTGAAGATTTTTATGTACAATAGTTATTGCTTGATCACTTCCGCGTGATTTAGCTAAAGTAATTAAAATATTGAGAACATCATTTGTACAATTTGGATTGTCCCACATATCGAGTTGTTTTAGTTGTTCACATTCAGATACAAGACGTATAATAGCATCACCAGTATAATTGTGATTACCAGACAGTATAAGTTGAAGTAGATTCTTTGAATAATATTTTATTAAATTATTCAAAGTTCGATCAGTTAAATGTCGACAATATGATAAATCAAGAGATTCAATTAAAGGACATTTCTAAAATATTCAAAATCATGTTTATAAAAAAAATATTATATTCAAATACTAATTTTATACTCGAATAATTTGTTCAACATAATGATCATTAAGTACATAACCACAACTTTTTAACGAAAGTACTTTCAAATTTGGACATTTTGTATAAATAGCTTTGATACCTGATTCTAAATTATTTAAATAAATATTTCTTTTTTTTTTTTTATTACTTTCGAATAATTAATGCAAACCTGTTAAATAAATTCCATCGAGATCTAAATGTTCCATTGTTTCCGAAAGTAAACTTTGTAATTTTTTACTAGTTAATTTACCATTTCTTTTAATACGATGAATTATTTCACTAAAAATATAATTAATTTTTTCTTTCTATAAAATAAAAATGATTTTCTTAAAAATTACTTGATTAAAAATTCATCTGGAAAACCTTCGAAATCAAATTGTTCGACATTTTCACAAATATATTCTAATGTCAAATCTAATAAACGACGTATCTGAGTTTTTTCATGATATGGATTCTAGACAAACAAAAAGTAAACATCAATTAAATTCTTTTTAAAAAATTTAATCAAACATACTCGTTCAAATCTTCGACCATAGGCTGCTCGAACATAAACTCCATCTGGACGTCTTTCCCATTGATATCTTGGTGTCTTTCTATATGAATATGATGTTTGAATTTCTCCAAGTACTTCATTTTCTGTATATTCACTAAGAAGCGGAACTCTGATAAGGTCTTGTATTAAAATCCAACCTTTAAATTAAGAAACAAAAATGAAATCATTTTGCCTGTGAAAAACGATGCATACCTTCATCAACTCGACAACCTTCTTTTTCCGCTCCATATCGAAGTAAATATGCAAGTCGTTTACCTAATTTTAATTGACGTCTTTCAAATTGTTTTACTAAACGAAGGTCTTCATTATGTTCATGATGTCTTTCAATTGCATCTGTAATATTGAGCATCTTCCTTATTTATTTATTTTCTATGGTAAAAAACGTGATTACATAAAATAAAAAACAAATATTTCATTTGTATTATAATTTATATACATGTATTAGTCATAAAAGGACGAGAAAAAACAATGTATTGACGTACTGATGATGCAATGACGCAATGTTTCAAATATTACGAGCAATTCAACGAAACTAACTACGCATTATAAATGGCCTTACAAAATTCTATTTTTTTCTTTCATCATAATACATGGGCACTTCTAAAGTTTTTTTTCCTCCGACTCTTCTAAAAACCTCAGTTTGAGTTCAAGTATTCTGTTATAAAGCCTAGACATATTTAGGATTATGTGCAAAATTTCAGACTTCTAGATCTTGTACTTTGCTGTAATTTATCATTTCTTTTAAGTTAATAAGATGCCATTTTCTATACTCTACATAATGGATGACTTGTAATAAATGACAGAACTTTGCATTTCATAATTTAATCACCAAGAAGATTTTATTAAAAAAAAGAAAATATACGAAACGATGCAGCATGAAAAGCTCTACAATCTACAGTGTAAATTATATATTAATTGTGCACTTTTTCGTTCAAAAAAACTAGTATTCTGAGTGACCAATTCTCGGCACTGCGAAAAGTAGTCCAGAGAATTTTGCTAATTCTTTTGAAAAGAAAAAGGATATAATTAAAATAAACTGCTGTTTCCAAGTTGTAGAGCTTTTCACGCTGCATCTTTCGTCATATCCTATTTTTTGAGAAAAAAATGTATTGGGTGATAAAAGGATCCAATACAAAAAAAGGAAGTCTTCGTTCGTGTAGAATTTTTGCAGCCTAGAAAATTGCTTGCTTAGAATTTTGCTTTTTCTTAATAGCAAAAGCTGCATATATAATATAAACTATTCTTTGTAAATTGTAGAGTTTTTCACGCTGCATATTCTAGTATATTTTGTTTTTTAATAAAACGTATATAGGAATCACAATATGAAATGCAAAGTTCTCCTATTTATGATGGGTCATCCGTTAGCAGATTGCGTGCACCTGCCATAGAAGCAATGACGAACCACAGCAAAGTACAAGACTTAGAAGTCTGAAATGTTGCACATAATCCTAAATATATCTAAGCATTATAATAGAATACTTGAACTCAAACTGAAGCTTTTAGAAGAGCCGGGGGGAAAAACTTTTGGAGTGCTCCATGTAATTTACAAATAAAATATATCGAAATTAATATATGTTAGATCTTGGCGATCATCTTAATCGTTTTTTTATGTCTAAAGTTCTGTTCATAATTGGTTTTTCAATTAAATCTTCTTGTTGAATACATTTACGACAAGCTCATAGGTGTTCACAATGGTTTCTTCAGACAAGATGTTTGTTCACGTTTGATTTGCTGGAAAATATTTCTGATTAGCCAAAAGCTTTGAGTTCGTACTCTTTTCGAAAACAGACTAAAAAATTTTGCTTGAGAATAGTGAAATACTCTTTGAAAAGTTCGAAAAACTTAATCTCAATAGAATTTCTGGGTTCACGTTTTCGATGAACATGTTTGTTCATTTCAACCTACATGAGAGCGTTTGAGACGAGCGAAAAACTCTACATCACCACTAGAATTTGAATATGGACTTAGAAATGTTCTGTCTATTTTTGTTCAAGAGTGGTGAAAGATTTTTTGAAAGACTTGAAAAATTATTTTTCATGATAAGTCAACAGGTTTTTCTTTATCCTATAAGTCTTTTTTCGAATATGCTAAAATTTGACTGAGTAGATAGCTTTGTAGACTGAACGCTTTTCTACAAAGTACGACATTCAATTAAGTTGTGACTTTTATTCGAGTGAAACTATAAACATTTTTTCAAGACCTCCTTTCAACATAAAACAGTTGTCAATTTTCGAAAATTGAATATATATTAGAAAAACGAAAAATTCAAGTACCTTATCAAAAGACAAAAAAATCTTCAAGTAGTGCATTTCATAGAATAGCTTCTAATCTACGAGCTGATATATAAATAAAGTCCCAACTTTTACTTTCGAATTATAATAGGGAAAATACAACAATTTTCGATACACACTAGTTTTTGGGCTTTTCAAGATTATTTCACTACTCTCGAGCAAAATTTCTAAGCCCATATTCAAAAATACTACCAACTTATAACTTTTTACTGATTGAAGATGCTCTCTAGTTGATGACAAGTGAATAAACATCTTATCTACAAACTTTTCGATCACAAATTATAGTACACATATTCCCTTCATTTTCCATAAGTGAAATCATACGATAATCAAAAACTTATTATTTTAGAATTGATAAAAACAGAAACTAAATAAAATCTTCTCAAGTATTATGATTGCCAACATTGACATCATTCAACTTTTCATATCGCATCTAATTCAATGTGTAACTGCAACAAAATTTCGATATAAAGAATTTTCTCAATCACAATTGCATGTTTCTCGTGTTATCTGCATCCATAACAAAATAAATCCTTGAATAATTTTTCAAAATCTTGCGAAAAACTTGCGATTAATTTTAATCTCATAATTGATATGGTTGAAAACTTATTATCTAGCAAAACTTTAGATTTGAATAACACAGCAAACAGCTTTAAATGATATACTACCTCTTCTTAATAATAATCCTCGTTCTGTAGTCAACAGATTTTTCGTGTTAATATTACACTTACGCTTTTTCGAAAAATGATCAATTTAAACTTTAATTTAATATGCTTTTATCTTTTAAGCTAAGCGTCTTTTAGAACTATCATCAGACGTTTCACTATTGATATCGATCAGGCAATAAAACAAAAGATCAATGTTCTCATAAGATCACTAGAAGCCTTCATTTTACAATACAATTAACAATTTGTGAATTTTTCAAGTTATAAACAAAAAAGGTGTTCTTACTCAATTGGCAATTGTATATCATACTTTGATAAGGTTTCCCTAAGTCACACCTTTTTCGCCAAAAAAAAGAGGAAAAAAAGGTGTTACTTTTGAATTGATGTTCATCGAAAAAAGTTTACAGATTTTCCAAATGTAACAATAAAATTTTCTTTTGGTAAATAATTAATATTAGATTTTAATTCTCATCCGTTATCATATGTCTATTAGCAAAGGAGCTCATTTATGAAACAAGCTTATTTCGTTAATTAATGATTAATTGGCTATTGATTGTAATTATACATATGGAGAAAAGAAAATATCTTCAATATGATTGGTTCCGATAAAATTTTTTCTATTGTTAAACGACGAATACTCATCTTTTTTTTTTCTCTTTTTTCTCTTATTAATTGTTTGTTTATATTCAAATATAGGAAAAGCACAACATACGCATTATTCATTTTGATCTTTGCATAGTTGTTTGTATATATACAATCGCACAATAATTCCTTCTATTGAAAAATGCAATCGATTCCAAATAACAGTAAG